ATCCTGGAGGAAGCCCTGCCCGTGTCCCCGTCGGGAGCCCTGCCCGTGTCCCCGTCGGGAGCCCTGCCCGTGTCCCCGTCGGGAGCCCTGCCCGTGTCCCCGTCAGCGCCGCCCGGGGTGGGCCAGCCTGTGAGCGGGGCCGAGCCCGCCATGCCCCCGCCGGGCTGCAGAGGGCGCTGTGGGCGCAGCCCTTGCCCGGCCGCGGCCTCTCCTCCCGCCGCGGGTCCGGCAGGCTCGTTATGGCGCTGCCGGTGCTGTCGAGCTCGGCCGTGAAGTTCCGGCGGGTCCTGGCACACTTCCCGCAGGAGCTCAGCCTGGCCTTCGCCTACGGCTCGGGGGTGTTCCGGCAGGCGGGGGCCGCGGCCGAGCACGGCGAGGTGAGCGCTCGGGCTCCGCGGCCCTGTCCTGGGCGTTCCGGGCACCGCATTACCTGGAGCCGCCTCCGGCCCTGCGGCTGCGGCTCGTGTACGGGAAGGGGCGAAGATCTCAGTCCCTTACGGGATATTGTCCGGTCCGTGCCCCGGGCTGCCGGGGAGGGCCCAGGGTGGTCCCGGCAGTGGGTTTGTCATTGTGAGGGGCTCGGGGTCCTCTTCATTCCTGTGTGTCAGGTTATTTACTGCTGTTTTTAAAGAGAATTACGGTGCTGCTGTGCACCGTATGAGGGCAATTGAAAATACATTGCCACACTGAAGTGGCAGTCGCGGGGCTTCCACATCGCTTGGGGGTCAACTGCTTGGAAATAATGTTTCTTTTTATGTATTTCTTATATTCGAGCTTTTAAAAATTGTTAATCAGCAGTATTGCTCGTTATTGGCTTCACTTACTAAGCAGTCTCCACAAATGCGACTTTAAATGTGCCTCGTTTTCTTTAAACGGGGATAACAAGAATTTCAGAGCTCTAACAGCATCTCATCGTCACACAAAAGAATAGGAAGAAAGGTAGCTAACAGATTATCTTTTTAGTGGTATTAATGGGTTAGCCGAGATGCTGCCCACAATTAATAAGCCACAGAGAGGCAATCCTAGTGAATTTGAAGCAACATCACTCCAGATAGTGGTGTGTTGCAGGTATGAGTTCCGAGCTTTTGTGCTGTCTGTGTGCAGGCAGTGTGTGCACTGGTTTCTCCAGAAGAGCAGTACATACACTGCACACCAGAAATCTTTGGAGTTTGGATTGTTTTGTTGTCAAAAGCAAAGGAATATGCTAGAAATGCACTTTTTGCCAGCTCTCGGGTGCCTTTATCTGCCCACATCCCCCAATTCACGGCCTTGCAAGTTGCCAAAAGTCCTGTTCATTAGCAGTGTCAGCTGTTCCACTGAGCTGTGAATTAAGGTGGTGGAGATCTTACACTTGCTCTTCTGTTTTGGAGGGTTGAAATTTGGTCACGACCAGCACAGGAAAATTTTGAGTAGTCTTTGCTAAATGGACAAGAAAACACAACTTTATCTGAATCTTTAAACTGTATCTGACTTTACTACTTGTGTATTAGGCTTTATTCTTATATTTTTCTTGTGAAAAATTATTAGCTGGAAGTTTGATACAACGTATATCTTAGATTATTATGATTGTGTATATCTTAGGTTATTATGATTAACATTGGCTGCTTCTTGACGTATAACCCCCAACACTCTGCTCCTCAACCACAGAACAATATGCTGGATTTCGTATTTGCTGTTGATGATTCTGTGACCTGGCATATGATGAACTTGTTAAAGAACAGGAATCATTATTCCTTCCTAAAATTTTTTGGGCCAAAACAGATAACTAGTATGCAGAGCTACGGAGCAGGAATTTACTACAACACTTTAGTGCCATGTAATGGTAGGGTAAGTATGATTAGTCTTTGTACAAGTACAAATTAAGTAAAATATTTGTCTGTGTGAAATAGTGAAATGATTAGCTTAAAGCAAATTTCAGGAAGCCAATCTTGTAGATTGTAGCTGTCGATTAACTCATGGTATCTTCAATATTTCTGTCTCAAAACTGCTTCACAAACAGCATTTTAATTAAAAAGCAAACAGACCAGCTGCTCTTGCGCCTTAAAAGTGTGAGCAATGTTTGGAACTTAGAGCTAAAGTGCTTCAGAAACTGTATTTATATGCCTTATTACTCGCTGTCTGCCAGCTTTGGTGGTGGTACAGTGTATTCTGGGAAAACAGGCCCTTAACTTCAGCAGTGGACCACGTAGTAACAGCAAAGTGGATTCTTACTGTTTGTTTGGCATAAAATGCAAATTGCAACATAGCAAGTTGGAACTGACACCTGTGTTCTTTGGTGTTGGCAATCCTGACCTGTGAGGCTTGGGTGTAATTCTAGGTAAGCGATCCAGCAAGTGTCCAGCAAGTTGTAGATCTCTGACAAACTATTTCTTGAGTATTTTCAATATCATAAAGGATACTGTGGATTAATCAAAATATTGTAATATTTGGCTGGAGACTTTATTGCAGCTTTGATTCTAGAAAAGATCTTAGAGTTCCAGGCATTCCATTTTTCCCGAAGTTTGCATGTAAGTAGGAAATTTTTCTTTTACCTCCTGTGTTAATTAAAACATGAAAATGTTTTACAGTTTTTTATTGGAGGTATGTGTTCTTTAGAATGAATGACAGTTATGTCAGGAAGTAGTAAGTTTCATGTAGTGAAAAAGGTATAGGTATGTTTTTTCAAAAGCTTTTATTTTGCTTTTTTCCCAGATGATAAAATATGGTGTAATTAGCACTGATACCCTGATTGATGATTTATTTCACTGGAAAACCCTCTATGTCGCTGGGCGCCTACAAAAGCCGGTAACTGTTTACCTGTTCAGTTTTTTGTCTTGAAATGCAGGAAATTACAGGGCTGGAAAATGATCAGTTTTAGTTTTAACTTTATCTGTTAAGGATATATTGATACTGAACAAATAATGTGCCCTGATTCAGAGGTGTAGCCCTGGAGGGATAATCTCTCAGAAAGGAAGTGAAATGTAGTCCTTAATCACATTCTGTGTGATGTGGAAAACCCGCAAAGGTAAGTATGTTAATAAAAGCTTTCTGCCTGTAGTAAATCTTGGGTAACTGGACTATATTAGTGCAAAGTCCCTTTAATGTTAAATGTATTCTATGCCTTTCATAACAGACATAGGGGTCACCAAAATTTAATGTGGGTAAATAATGGAAATCTTTAAAGGTGAAAGCTGCTTTGCTGTGCAGTTACTGTCTAGTGCATTGTATTGTTAAAGTATTTATAACTGAATGAACTATGGGTTAAACACGTGTGTTTTTCTCCTCCGTGTTTGTGTCATAAAAAATAGGAGGTGTTTGCTTTCCCCGAGTGGTTTCAGCAGATGGCAGCAGGGCTGAGGAAAAATTTGTTAAGACAGGAGGGTGAGAAGGAGAGGAGAACTCTTCAGGTCTTAGAACAGAAGTTAATTATGCTTTTAACTAAAAATTTGGAGTGAAAGTTTGAATAGATTGTCTCAGCACTATTGGCTTTTCTCTATCTCCAGAGACGTATTGTAGCATGATACAGGTCAGAGCAGCTGTTATCTCTGGAAAGAGTGAAACTTAATACATTGAGAAGAATAACTGAAGGAAAAATCCTGAATGTCACATTAACAATGAATAGTGAATAGCTATTTTCAGTGTAACTGCACTTGCTGCTACTTTGATTTGTGATATGGTACAGTGAATAGATCCAATTAAAAGTTCTCTGTACTGTGAAAAAGCCTTCCTTAACTTTGGTGCTCTTTCAGATTTACTCCAAGAATCAACATCCAGCCTTTTTGTACCAGGGTGTTAACTATTGCATTCTGACTTCCTGGGAGATTTTTAGCTCTCTGAATTGTTTAAAATTTGTTCATAAATTAATTTTATCACCACTGCAGTGTTTCCAGGCATTCAGATTTTGAAGCTTAGCATATTGTTTTCCTCGGAAAAAATTGCTGTGGTCTTCCATAAGGAGGAATAAGATCTCTTTGGAGTTTCACATTTTAAAAGGCTGTAACTGTGGTGTTCTTAAAACAGGTCCATAACATGGTGCTATTTACAGGGCTATCCTAAGGTATAAGCACCTATATGAGTGTTTGTGGTGCCACAGACTTCTCTCTTCTGTCTTTCCTTAGAGATTCCCTGTAGCAGCAAGTTATGAACATACATTTATTAGTTCATCCCCATGACCAGCATGTCTTAGTTATTGAAACTACTTAAGCAAGTCTATTATGCATTCAGTAACCTTCTCCTGTGGCTTTCAAGGAAATAAATAAATAGTGCAGAATGATTGAAACAAGTAACCTCTGTACTGTTGCATTCACCATCATATCAAAATCAGATATTATTAAAGTTTTATGCCTCTTAAAGATTTTGCCATAACTAAAAAGTATGTTCTGAATATCAGCAATGTCAGCCATGACATTGCTTTGGCTGTGTCCTTTCTATAGTAAGAATTGTGTGTAGCAGATATGTCTGATTGTCATACTTTATTGAACCTAGGTTTGGTTTTGGGTTTTTTCCCCCGTTGATTAACAGGGTATTTGTATTCCTGAAGAAAAATAGTTACTTGAAAGGGTCCCTTAGCTGTTTCAGGTTATATGTGGGGGCAGAATTTCAGGTAATACTGCAACTCATTTGTGTGTGAATGGGCTTTTGGGGAGAAAGAACAAATGGGTACCTTTGTTCATAACTGCCAGAGCCTTTGCATTTTAAGGTATTGTAGGGTAAACAGATATTAAAAAATCTGCCTTTTATAAGCAAGACACTTGAAAAAGACAGCAACTGACAACAAGCAGGGATTCCTGGAGAGTTGTTTCTGGAAGAGCGTAGTTATAGAGCCATCTTGTAAACCAGGATGACTTCATCTGTCTGATGTTCTATAATGGTGTGTTTCTATATTCTGTTCTTACCAAAGATCTGCTTTTTATTCCAGTATATTTCCATATCCCAGGTGACTGGTTTCTCTAGTTGGTCTTGAACAGTTAAAGTGTTTCCTAAAACCAAATACTTCATGCAACGGATGGAAGCGTTAAAGTGATCTGTTCTTCACGTATAGATGAAGATTTCGTTGAGTTCACATTCTTCTCATGCAAAGTGCAAAAATAAAACCTTGCTTCTTCTAGGAGGACAACTAATGTCTGAGAAGCATTTGGTAGGGGAGTCCTCTATTAAAAAAAAAGAATGAAGATGAATATTAAAACTTAGCTCTTTGGTGTTCCATTCTCTTTCAGTGAGACAGTGGTCTTTTTTCTTATTGCATAATCACATATGAAGTATTTCTGTTGATGCATTCATATTTATTGTTTTGATCAGTCTTAAATTTATGAATATGGAAAGGTGAATAGCTCTTCAGAGATTGGCTAATGGCTGTAACATATGGCAGTTCCAAACCTGTTTGTAAAACCAGCCTTTTCTAGCAGACTGTTAATTCTTAAAAAGATGTTCCTCTTTCTCACACGGTGTAAACAAAAGGGGACACTAGCCCTTATTAAACCATACTAATAAGATCTAATTTTGAATAAATTTCTTATTTAGTTTTCATGCTGGATTTCTAGTTCCATCTTCAGTAGCACTTTCCTGAAGTCTTGCTTCCAATGGCTCTGCTTTTTCAGGTGAAAATACTGACACAGAATGAGAATAGCAAGCTGCAAGCTGCTCTTGTTAGCAACCTGAAGAGTGCAGTCACAGCAGCCTTTCTCATGTTACCAGAAAGTTTCTCTGAAGAAGACCTCTATATGCAGATTGCAGGACTCTCCTACTCTGGTTAGTATGTGGTGTCTAAAGTCACCGAGGAGAAAAGCTGTAGTTGGAGCTGTTGTACCACAGTTGGAAGTCTCATGTGTAGTAAGTCATTTGCCCTCTTGCTTTGGGCCCACACTGCTGCATGCTCCAAAAATTGTATCTGAATGCTGTGTTACATAACAGCTCCAAATGACTAATTGGGCTTATTCTTAGGAAATAGGTGTAGGTACCTAAACAAAGCTTCTTATACCTGCTTGATTTATGAACAGCTAACTATGAGTGACTGAATATGATGAAATAATGTGGGTTTTTTTCTGTTTGTATGGATTGTATTTTGGTTTAGTGTTTCAAAACCTTGGAAAAAAATTTCTTTCCGCTCTCAGTGTAATGTTGAGTCATCTTATAGTCTGACTCATACCGTGTCATCTCTTACTTTTTGAGCATGATGTGTTTAAGGTTCTTATTTAGTTAATTTAAGGATCCAGGTTATGATTCCTCAATGTATATTTAACATTCACCTCCTGGTTAGTATTTGTTGACTTTTTTTTTTATTTGCTAAGAGAATTTCCTCCTTTCTTTAGTTAGGAAATGAGTATGGAAAACAATTGAGGAAACTACTGCAAATGGCTCTTCAATGTAAGATTTAGTTGTTACAATTTAATTCAGCATTGCTTTTTGAATGTTGATATCCTTATTGAAATCACTATGAACAAGTTTGATTCCTTTATGCAGCACTTCCTTTGCTTGTGTAGAAATGCAAGTTTGGCTTTAAAAAATCACAGGTGGGCAGGTGGGGGTTATAAGCTGCAGCTTGGCTGTACTGAGGAGTGTTACTGTTCTTTATGTAATACTTCCCTGAGCAGTTTAGATTGCAGCTTTTTCAGCTTTTCAATAGTAGTTTTTTTCTGAATTGTTGCCTGTTTTAAAGTGACAATAAGAGGGTGCTGACAATGGGATTGCCAGCCAAGGCTGTTTGCTGCAGGGCTGCAGACCTGTCCACCTGAAACCTGCCCAGCAATGGCATTACATTCTTGGTGGGCACTAGTGACTGAGATACTTCTTTATATAGTTTTTGAAACAGTGCAATCAAACAGAAACATGGGAGATCAGTTACCGTGCTATAAGATGTTGAAATTGGCTCTGCTGTGTGAACAAAGCTAAAGCAGTAAGATTCCCAGTTGGGAATGTTCAAGGAAAAGGCTGTTGATTATATGTTCGTGGATATTTTATTTTACTTCCATTTTGTTAAGTCTTTCAGAGGGTATACTAGTAGACAAAATTGATTTTATGTGTTACTCTAATGAATCTCCTTGCAGACTGCTGAAAAGAGTTGTTCGTGCTTGAATTTAGAAAATGTTTAGCCTTCATTTTTTTTATGGATTTTTTGAGAGCAATGAGTCAGTACCATTTGTATGCAAAGTGTTTGTTTTGTGGCTTGGCATAAATTGAAAAAACTAAGTAAGGCTAGCAAGTTGCCATCTTTCAATAACATTTGTCTCCTGAATGTGGGAAATGGGAAAATGAATTGATTCAGGATTTTGTTTGTTGATACACGCTGCACTGAGCCTCTAACTCCTGGTTAGAAACACAGGAAGTTACCAGGCTAGTACCTATCTGAGGTAGTTATTACATACTAGCTGTCTTTTCACTTATTCTCTCTGAAACTTTTCAGTCATGTATCAGAAGAGAAAGTGTAAAGGTCAGTGATGTAACAGTGAAGTTAAAAGCAGTTGATTTTTGAGACTAATAACAAAATACATGGCTAAGAGGAAAAGATAATACAGTAATCTTACCATGACTGCCATTAGGTGAACTTCAGGTACTGCCCTTGAAGTGCAGAGACAATGCAAATTATTTTCTCTCAATATTGGAAAATTAAGCTTATTTGTTTGTAGATACAAAGTATTAGAACTGGTCAGTTTGTTTAGTAGTCTTTTGAAATGTATGTATCATTGCAAAGAATGTAACTGCTATTGCCACTTGACAGCTGGACTTATTTTGTCATCCACAAGTGAAAATGTGGACATATGGGCTGAGGCCACAAAACAATATTTGACTCTAAGCACGTATTTTCTGTGCTTGAAGATATTTGAATAGCTTTTTGACTAATAGAAGGTGAACCTTGTTGTGAATTATGCAGGCATTGGTAGAACTGAAGAAAAAAGCTTTAGATGACAGCTTTTTACTATATTGATTTCTGTTATATTCTCCTTCTCTGAGTTTTGGGGTTTTTCCTAATGAATTAACTGTGTCTCTTTTCTTGACCAGGTGATTTCAGAATGATAATAGGAGAAGACAGGTCGAAAGTGCAGAACATAGTGAAACCCAACATACCCCATTTTCAGAAGCTGTACAGTACCATATTACAGGACTGCCCTCAAGTGGTGTATAAGCACCATCTGGGAAGACTAGAGGCAAGTGTTCTTCAAAACATTTTTAAAACAAACAGGTGGAAGTGCTTTATCACATTGACAGAAGGCAAGAATTATGCCGTGCACTAAGGAGGGCAGTTGTAGTCACTGTACTTGCTATTTGTTATGTTTCTGTTGTTTAGTTAATTCTGCAACCAGAAGATTTACCTTAAATACCAGTCTCTGTATATGTAGTAACTACTGCTCATTTTCTTTGAGTATGGGCACAGAACTAGAGCCCTAGCAAAGGAACAAGAGAAGATGGTTGTAAAACACATGTTCTAATGACTACCACATGGACACAACAGTCTAGGCAGTGATGAATGAACATATGGTTTATGTTAAAAAGATTAGGTTGTAACTCAGAGGTGCAACTTTCCACAATCAAAAACTGCATCTCACAAAAAAACTCATCAAGTGCTAGTTGTGAAGATCAGCTGACTAAACCTAAGTGAAATTCTGACATTATCTTTAAATACCCATCCTAAACCATTTCTATCCTTAGTATTTGGGAAATCCAAAATGACCAGTATCTTGAATTCGATCTTTCTGGTATAACATTGGAATTAGGGAGAGATGCCACACAGTCAGGGGTCCAGTAGCAGTTTTCCTCTTGTAGTTTGCATGTCCATGTGTGAATATTCAAGTGTGATATAAACTTCAACATGAAGTTACAAATAGCACGGGTTGTCTCATGGACTCTTATCCTCGAGTCACCGTGGTAATTGTCTCCCAAATGCCTCCTTTTAGGATATGTCTTTGTTAGAAACTGGTATAAGTACAGTTTTAAGCAGACTTGAGTACAGTAAAAAATTGTTCTGCAGCGCTTTGGAGTACAGCATAGGCAGATCTGTCTTACACTGCAGCTGTCTCCATGTTTTCTTATCAGTGTGCTCTTCAACAGTTTAGTGGAAGAAATATTTAAATTAATTTTGAAAAGAATCAGTAATACTTTCTTCAAGAAAAAGGCTAGTTACAATAATACTTCCTGTTGTTTTACCTTTAAAAAAAATCCTGATAGCGTACTGCAAATATGCTGTTGGATAATAAATCTGTCCATAATTCCACAATTGTCATCAAGATTGTTGATTAAATGCCATTATTTCACTGTTGATTTGAAGTAAGGTACTTTAATATTCTGTTGTTCACACCTTGGTGTGATTATTGGCAGTTATTACCCAGACTGAGGTGAATGTCTGCTCTCAGGAGTGCAGTTTAATGCAGAATAGAACCCCCTTTTCCAAGTATATGTCTTCAGAGTTACAGAGAAAATTCTTTCTTAAAAGATTCCTCAAAACCAACTGAAGACAGACACTAGTTCTCACAGTTTTGGTTCAGACGTGGATTCCTCCCACATAATGTTCAGAGCCTGCTCATCGTCGGCTGCCTCTGGAGTGATTCATCTGGAGATCATTTTCTCCACACTGACAAAAGGGAGTGGATAGGGGAACTAGACTCCTGTCTGATGTCTCCATGAAGTGTCTGAGATGTTGTGTGGGAGGAACTGAGCTCTTCATATTTTCCTCCAGTTTTGGAGAGATCTGCTCCATCATGCATTTTTCATTGTTTGTGCTTACACTCTGTATAAATATGCACAAGCTTGTACGTTGGCATTGTTGTATTCAAAAAAGGGTCCTTGAATTTCTGATTTAGATTGGAAAATGTGGAATGAATGTTTTCTTCAAATTTTACAAACCAGATGTGGTTTGAGTTTAAAGCAGAGAAAATGGTTTTCAAACTAAACTTGAAATGTGTGCGTCTACAGTTTGATTATATTCAGGCAGAAGAAACAGAGCTAAGTGGTCTTTTGGGAATTTTTTTTTAATTGTAGTGTACTTATGTTTCCAAAGGAAATAGGATATAACAGAAACTATACAGTTTCAATGAAAAGTTACTTACAGAGACAGGAAGATCCTGTGTGTCTTTAATTAAAATTAACATCTTTGCATTGAGTTATTCTTCAGGTTCAGAACTGAGATAACTGCATTTCCCTGTGCTTGGGAAATTTTCGTTACAAATGTCCATTACTTGTGCTAGTGACATAGATTGGGTTCTGAGAGATATTTCTCAGAGGTCAAAGATAGCCAGAAGAATTTTCGGACTTCTTTAAGATAAAGAGAACTGAATGGTTTTTTCTGTCTTATTTTCTATAACATTCAGATTGATAAAAGTCCAGAAGGTCAATTTGCACAACTAATGGCTTTGCCAAAGAATCTGCAGCAAAAGATAACTTCTCTGGTAAACCCTCCTGGAAAAAACAGAGATGTGGAAGAAATTTTACTGCAAGTTGCCCATGACCCTGACTGTGGATTTGTGGTGCATCAAGGTAGGCCTAACCAGTGTCTGTAATCTCTTTTAAGACGTGATAGAGATACAAATCTGTATCTGTATCTGTTTTTCTATTTCAGAAGGATGGTTTAAAGAGAAGGGTGAAAAACCCAAGAGATTAATCACGAGATACCTCCTTAAAAACATCGGTTCAGACTTCTTTGATTGCAAACAGGTTATCTGAAAAACTAGCAAATAGCATTCCTAGTGATATAGGAAGATACGTTTTGGTTTGGGTCCTTTGGTTTTGGAAGACTAATCCAGTCTTTAGGGATTAGTGTGGCCTGCTTAGACTGTCTTAACTCTGTAGTGCTTACACCTTTAGGCATAACTTCATCGAAATACTGAGCTATGTATCCTACCAGTCACACATTGCAAGGATAAGCTAATTTTCTGTCTTGCTGACATTACTCTTCCCAATCATGTTGGTTAGTCCAGACATGTAAGCTCTGGCAGAGAACTCAAGCTTTAAGGAAAAAGATTGAGGTGTGTCTCATCATCACAGCTGCTCTGAGGCAAGATTATGTCATATGAGCAAGTTAAAGCTAATGCTGCAGACATCAATGTTTTTATATGCTGCAGAAAAAGGAAAATGTTTAGTACTTGAAGAACTTGACAAATTTTTAGTTCCAGTTAGCAAATTTTGCAAGCTCCTTGAGCACAGCAAAAGTTCCCTACGTACCTGGGAGCTACTAGACACTCTCCAACTGCTGAGGGAGCTTTTAGACTGTTTTCTGTTTGGGGAAATAAAGCTCCTGAGACTTGCAGTTCTCCATTGGCAGTATAGGATGAATTGCATCTGGGCATTGAGGTGTCCAGCTTTTTCATGACAGTCTATGACACCTTCTGTGCTGGGCTGCAACAGTAACAGGATAAAAGCTGAATCCAGGAGCAGTGTTGTGAGCTGCACATGATTTTAGAGCTCCAAGTTATCCCCCCTGAGCTCATCATCCTTGTGGTTGTGTTTCTGTAGGGTCTTGCAGGCGTGGCTGCGGCTGTGCACAGTGGTGCAGCAGTTCAGTATCAAAACACTGAACAGATCTGGTCTTCTCAGGCCAAACAGTTTAAACTCTTAGGAGAACAAATCAAAACCCCTCTTTCACTTTTGTGGCCAAAAGATTTTCCTAATTCATCACTCTGAGTGAAGGCCAGGACAAGCCATTTGGGAATCCTACAAGAAAAAGCTGATTACTCAATCTGAATTGCATTATCCCTAGATATTTTGCTAGATCAATATGATTTCTTCCTTTCCCCTCCCTACCCCTCAAATTATTTTCAGTGGAACATTGTATCCCTCTTACTTATTAATGGATTACACTAAACGTGGTTCTTCATTATGGAAGTAGCTTTGAAAGAAGGGTTTAAAAATATTTGAAATTATATTCTAGGTGTTTAATGCAGGATAATATCTTTCAGTTTGGAAGCCTAACTGAGACTACTGCATTCCTACATTTTTTTGAAGTATTTAGTAACATGCAGTACTCTTTTACATATCAGTATGCTTTTATATGTTAGAACAAACATACCAATACTTCTGAAAAAAAAATTTTTAAGTTTTATATACTTTTCCATTAATACCTAAGAACCACGGGACAATGAGAACTGAATGTGGCACAGTGCAAAGTGATAAATGAGACTTATCTTTCAAAGCTGATAATTTAGAAAAGCCAGACAAGCTCTGCACAATAGTGACATCTCTACTTGAACAGAGAAGTGCAAAATCCCAATTTTATATTGAAGTAATCATGAAGTATAATTTGTTCTGCTCTAGAATGTTGATACCAGCACTTAGATGAAACAACTCTGAATCTTTTGTGACTAATTATCTTAGTAGAGATGTAGTGGGACCTCTAAATACATTTATTTGATCAATTCCTACCAGTTGTTGTCTGTTTTAATATTGATTTGGTTTGTTTTTTTCCTGTATGTTATATATAAAATAAAATAGCTTAGAGAATATTTTCAATTAATATGACAAAGCAGAGCAGAAACAAAACATTGTCAGCATAAGTGTATGTTTTACTTTCAGGCTGGCTTGATTGTATAACTGGAACAATATTTGACTTGTGTATGTTGGAGGGTAAAAAAAAAAAATCGGCACAAAACTGCTAAGATGGATAACATCTGTGTGCTTTTCTCTCTGCAGGCATTTCAGGAATTGTGAGATCTTCCAGTATAGTGCAGAGTGCTAAAACCATACTGACAGCTGGTAAGAATGCGTGTGATTTCCATCAACATAGGTCTTTTAATTTCACAAAGGAAAAATTACAGGGCCCCAAGACTATCTTGTTACAGGAGCTTATTCTTTAAACTTTTAGTGCATTTAATTGAAAGCCCCTGGAAGATAAAAGTAATATTTAAAGCAGAAGATTTATTGTAACTGTTGCAAAATTGTAAAATGCTAAAAGGAACTGGAGTATGTGCAAGTTGTAAACAAATAAACAAACGCCCCAACAACCCAAAAGTAAGGAAAAAAACAACTTCTGAGTTCAGTTTAATTTTCTATGCAGGCCAGATCTGGCTGATATGCACTAGTTCTGCACTTTCTGCATTAAAAGGGCTTCATGCTTTCTTGAAAGTTGCCTAAATACTTTTCTGAACTCATTCATACCTATTCCTAGTTCTTCCACAAAAGCAATTATATACAAATGATGCCAGTACTGGTTTTAAAAGCAGCTATAGAGGTTCCTACTGAGCAATCCTTATCCAGACTTCTACAGAGGCTGTTCCCCTCCATTGGTGTTGGTGACTCCATGTTACACCTCCTACCCCTAGTAAAGAAACACAGCTTTCAGTGTTCAGGACCATTACAGGTCTGCTGAGTAAAATAAGCAGGAACACTTTTACTTTTTATATGTGTCTGTTAATAGTTTAGTTCTATTAAATGGAAGAAGTCTGACAAAACTATTGCCTAACTTTTAGTAGCTGGAGGAGACAGAACTCCATCTAAGTAAAGCAATTTTGTTATATATCAATTAAGTGCATGGCAGATGTTAGTTTCTAATGTAAGGTTTCCAACCAAATAGGTACATTTTTCTTCTACGGTTTGTTGTCAAAATTACCTGCTAGTGGTCAAGAATTCTGGTATTATAACATGCCTTTTTTAGAGATGTCAACTTGCATCCTATCTGTTCCTAAATCCATGGAGCGTAGATTTTTTTTTTGTGAAATAATTGTAGGGGAGGGGTCAAAGACAGTGTTATCCTATTGAATCCAGTGCTTGGGAAAGTTATCCTGACTGCCCAGTAGGGCAAAGCTGTTTGTGTGTAACTTAAAGAGCAGGGATAGAGACAGCTGAGCTTTCTAGGTTAGTTATGCTCTCCTTCTGTCTGTTCTGATGGACAGAAAATCCCCTCTGGGAGTTATTAGCGCCTTTTGCATGTCATGCAGTAAATCACAGCCTGTGTTGGTACTGGGACTTTTGTGGGGTCCTAATGCATCTTCTAGTAGGACTTGTGATTCTTACCATGTTTTCTGCTTGTGCACTTGAAACTAGTTATTTGGGAAATGCCTTTACTTTCCTTTAACTGCTTTTTGCTTTATATACAGTGGCTTTTTTTCCCCTTTAAAACAAACTCGAGTTGTCTCCTAACCAGCCAGTTAACATAGAATAACACTCATATTTAAAAACATGTATTTTCTGCTGGTGGTTTTAGTGTTGAAAACATGTTTTTGTGGTTTGATTCAGGTAAAGCAAAGCAATTTGAATCCTTTGCCTCAAGCACAAGCCAAATTTGAGCAAGGAGGCCCTAGGGGAGTTGATTTTTCTTACTTTTAGCATAATTTAGTTCCTTTTTTTTAAACATATTTACAGTCTTCTGCCAGAATCTGACCAAAACCATTTGCAACAGAATTCAGGATTGATGGATTTTTCAGATGTGAGGTTTGTATGATCTTAAATGATTTTCCCTGGAATTGAGGAGGAATGGGTGTCCATGGGTTTAGGAGTTAGTTAGTAAAAGCTTTTTGCTTGTGGGGTTTCTTTTTGTTGCCTTTTTTTTTTTTTTAAATAATTCTCTCCAAACACTTATGATTATGTTAAATCTTGCTGTATCTTCGCATGAAGATTTTCTCTCAAGTACAGTTTCTTAATTTAAAAATGCATTCCAAGGGGCAGCAGTACTGCTGCTGCCGTGGCTGTGCCAGTCCTCCATGTTCCTGGAGACACAGAATGTGCACAACACAGGGTGGCTCCTGCATTGGAGTAGTTGCTTGACTCATGCAAGGAATATGTCTTACAGGGAAGTGTGGAGCTTTAAATTCAATCCCTAAGGATGCCATATTTCTTCATTCTTTGTCCAAATCTTGTCTAATATTCTGTTCCCCTTAGACCTATTTTCACGCTTTCTAGTGGAGACTTTAGGAAAAGTGTATGGCTCTGACCTTCTGCAATGCTTAGGTCAAGAATAGTAGCTTAAAATAAGAGAATTACTAAAGAGATTCATGAAATCTGTGGCTTCATTAAATAAGCTCTGACTTTTTTTTTTTTTTCTCTTTCTAGTAACTGTATAAATAGTTTGTTTGAGGAAGAATTAGTTTTCACTACCTGGCCATCGTTCTTTTTGGAATGTAAGGGAGGACACAATATCTTTTCCTTAGCTGATTGTTTTACTTTAACAACCAAAAAAAGTGAAATGCCTACTCTGGTCCATAGCATGGCTGTCCAATGTACAGCATATTTCTAAATTGAATGCTAAATGTTAAATCAGCAATCGTTGTGCTGAGGTGGCATGCTGGGTATTAGCATTATTGACAAGGAGCACAAGCAAAATAAAGAATTTCAACCCATTTAAGAGAACTTTTTTCATCTTTCTCTGCCAGTGTGGTTTTGAAGTTGAGCTCTAGCTCTGTTTTTGTTTGTTGTTAAATGCCCTGTTTAGTTTTTGAAAATGTGCCTGTGCATTTCTTCGAGTCTGTGGTGAGGTTGCCTCTCTGTTTCTCATTAGAGATGGCACCATGGTTTAATTTGTTTTCCCATGTAGCCAGAGTTTGCATGGTCTTTGGGAACTAACTCTGCAGCTCTTATATTTAGCTCCTCTGAAGGAGATGTTGTTACTTATTTAGCTTGGATTTCTTCTTTATATTTCACTCGAGGAATGCAGCAAGCCTTGAAAATTTTTCTATAAATACAATACTATGAATTAAATCATCAATTGAAGCATTTGTTCAGGATACTTTTAAGTTAACACAAATGCTCTGAATAACATTTGTTTTCTTAGAATTGAGATATTAGTATACTAATCCTTGTGTATTCAAGGATTCTTTTAAACTTGAAGGATCAGCTTTACATGTAAAATACTCTGTAGAGTTCAGATAACTGATGTCTTCATCAACTGCCTGAGCAGATACTGCATTGCCACCAACTTCACTGGGAATATGTGTACAAAGTTTGCATATGTCTGTGCATGACACACTATCAGTATGTAACTATTTGCCTCCACATGACAGCTCTTCAGCAGTACATACATCAGTCTTACTTTTTAAAAGGAATACTACATCCAGGCATATCTACCAGAAAACTTTGGGGGACTTCAGCCAAATTGCTGTCTTACAACACTAACACTTCCAAAAAACTCAATGCAGATTGTTAAGTAAAACCAGATACAACTTGTGTTTACACTGAGATGCTGTGGTCTCGGTCCCATGTGCATTAGGCCTTTGTTCTGTATCCTATAGTGGAAAAATTTGAAGGGGAGGTGAAACCACCAAGTCATAGATTCATAGCTGAAGTAAGAAAGACATTTTTATGTGGGTCAACTGCTTCAGATTCTGAGACTGAGCCATAATTACAACCATTAACTTTTACTACAGATGTGACTCATCACCCTGAGGGCTGCTTTAAGAAACCAGCTGTATGTATAAACCTGCATTTTCCTTTGCAGGCTGATGTGGTGGGGCAGAAATGTAAGCATCTCATTCCATAAGCCTCTGGTGGGTGGAGTTCAGTGGAGTGCTCCCTGCAGGGGGAAAATAGGAAAGAGAAGAATCTCTTTCTGTTGAGCTGCTTCAGGAGGCAGGGTGAGTTGGCAGGCTGGTAGAACAAGCTGACTTGCAGGCTGCAGTGCCAGCACAGTTAATTCCAGTCCTGCAGGGCTGAATCAGCTGCATTGCTGTTGGTCTGCCACGTTATCCTGCGCTTCCACAAGTACTCTGACTTCATTGTAATGGCACAACAGCATCCATCCTGTCAGAGCAATTCCCGTATTGGAGGGGCTGGATCCTGCATGTACAGTACCTGGGAGACTGGACAGTCATTTTCAAAGCCATACACACAGTTTTAACTTTGGAGATTGGAATCACTTCTTTCATTTATGTGCTATGCCTGAGCTCAGCCTGGCCTTGTTCTGCAACTGAAATTCTTACCCTGTGTGCAATTCCAATGTGGATATGTGAGTTGCCTTGGAATTTACATGATTATTCACTTATTATTTGAGGAGCCTGTCATGACTTCAGTAGTGTGCTCACTTTTACAAAAACCTATTAATTGTAGAAAAGTTAGAGCATACGGGATACAGCGGGTTTGTAAGTTCAAAATACAGGTATGGATTATTTCTTACGAAAGATAAAGCTGAGCTTATTTAAATTGCAGTTAGAGGCACCAGATGTGTAAAACTGATTCTATACAGTGTATTTATCATAGGATTTTTACCCTCAGAAACAGAGCATGCACCTTTCCTTGTTACTGCATACTCGTTTGACTTCTTGCTGCTCTAGGCTGTCAATACCGAATGTATCTTTTCACTTGAAATATTTTATCTTCATTTGATTGCTTTCTAAGGTCTTTTTCAAATTAAAAATGATCATACCCTCCTCTCCTCCCTCTCCCCAAGAAAAGACCAGGGCAGTAGATGGCTAAACCTGTGGTACTTGTTCCAGAATATCTTTCCTTGCACTCTGGTCTGTCATACTGTGTGCCTTACGGCTAAATTGCTTCTGTGTATTTTTAGTCAGTCTTGTGAGGTGTTCAATTAGATAAACATAAGAAAGATTGTAGTAAGTGTAACGTACCATACTTTCGATCTCTGCATTTAAGTGTCAAAATGAAAGCTTCTTGTGCAGCATTAAAAGCTTGCTTTTTCAGTTTTGAATTTGTAAGGGTGTGATTGAACTGTGTTGTAAGCTGAAAAGTCACTGTGTCTTATGTTGGGTTTTTTTGTTTGTTTGTTTTGGGGAGTATTTTAAACAAAAAAAGCTGAAAGATGGAAAAACAAGTAGCTCCACTTGCTAGGATCTCAGGACCCCACTGAAATGCCAAAAGTAACAGTATTTTGGTTTTAAGTTTACAAATACTAGATGACTAGACTCAGCAAAAGGCTATGTCTTTTGTTTATTCTCGGTCTGTAAGAGATGGCTGGTAGAATTTAAGTGTTTAACTCTAAGGGTGCACTTCACAAATTGTGTGGGAGTCATCCTTGGTCCCTTCTTATCTAAAACTCCTAAATGCTTGGAGGCAACGACTGCTGCTCTGTCTTTATGAAAACTGAGACATTCCTGCCTTCACTGTAGGCCCAGTGTGATGGTGTGGTATTTACCAGAGTTCACTACTTGTGGGCAGGAGAGTGCTAGAGTATGGCAGCTATTCTGGCTTCATATGAGGTTTGTTATAACCAAGTGACAGCAGGTTATTCTAAAGCAAAACTGGTCCAGACAACATCCCCGTGACACTTTTCACATTGAGGTCCATGGTACACCTCTGATATTGGGAGTGTCTCCAAAGTATAGCTGCTTGTCATCATCTCATTATTTTTGCTGCTTTCAGTTCAGCTGGGTGCCTTGCCTGGTGTTCCAGACCCATCATTTCAGTATCATCTCCTAAGCACACAGATTGAGCAGTTTTATTCTCTGGCAGATGTACCATTCTGTCAGTTATGAAATTGTACCTGCCCTTGTACCTAGTTGGCATGAGGCAATAACAAAATATTCAAGGAAGTTACAGTGTACTTTACAACTTGTTGAAACCAGAACAGATTCGCACCTTAACAGTCAGCAACACAGTTCCTACGACAAACCCAGATCTCTGTTCTCACTTTTAATTCAAGAGCCTTTGCATAGCAGGGCCTGGGCTGCTGATGGTCTGCAGGGTTTGATTAAACACTGTTGAGGTGGGCATCAGCGTGATGCTTCTCAGTTCTATCTGTAGAATTGGTCTCCAACAAGGCAGGCAGGTGCCCAGTGTATGGCACTAAGCACAGCTGTCTAACATCTGCTTGGCACCAGGAATTGGCCCAGGAGGGGGTGGAAGTGTAGAGCTTGTTATCTACCAGTCACGTGGACTTTGCTTGTTGTGCTTGAGCAGGATGTTCTTTTGTCCTGGTTCAGCCCTCTCACTCCTTCCCCTTTATCCCTTCAGTAAAATTTTGGCTGCATAGCTTTGGGCATAGCTTGAGGTTCTTCATCTAATCTCCAGAATCTGGGAATTGGGCTCCTGTCTCAAGAGCCAAACTGCTTTGACAACTAGATTCTTCTCACAGGCATGGCCAACTAAGTAACCTGCATGGCTAACGGCAGCCTGGAATCCTCCAAACAGTCCTGCTTAGGTGTCCTGCTGCACAGTGGAATCTGGCAGGTTGCTGGTGTCCATTACCAGCCAGAGTGGAATCCTACTCAGCTGGACATACCTTGCAGTAGACGAGACAGGGCTTGAAAAAGCACAGTGTATTAGTTTGGTGAGGATCTGCAGTACACACAGGTGCGTTAAAAGCCTTCCTGTTTGTAGCATTTAGAAACAGTGATGTGAAGGAGAAGTTTCCCTCTGCATCAGTTAATTGTTTCAGCAGGAATCTCTACTTTGCTATCCCTCGGTTATTGTCTGTACAATGTGCTTGTATACAGCATTGTCAGGCCTTCAGAATGAACCTGTTTATTGTACACGCTTTGATACTATTAAAGGTTTTTTTGTGTCATTATCTACTATGTTATGAAGGTTATTTGCATATCTGCCTGGTGGATTAGGTTGTCATTCCTCCATGGAAATACTTCACTTGGTGTAGTAAAAACTATTATCTGAGTCAGCCTTCCTAAATGTTTATATTTTTCATTTTGTCTTTTTTTTGTCCTTTTTTTTAGGGGCAAAGAAATCTGTAACTTACAGTATGAAGAAATTATATAAAATGACAAAGGGATGGTTAAAGAAGACATCTTGAGTCTTGACGTAGTATGTATGGGTAAATAAATGGTACTTTTTCTCTAAATATTTTGCAGATGCCACTTTGCATACTTGAGAAGGTTACAATGCATTTAAGAAGTCCATTCTAATGATTTACATGCCCAATTTTATGAATGAAATAGGAACTTTTTAATGGGAGAAGGTTTGCTGGTAATAGGGCAAAGGAATTCTACTCTGTAAATACTGAACTGTATTTTCTTGTATACTAGAGCTTGGATTTTCAGAAACCCCTAGTAAAAAGAATTGATTGTACATATGAATGAAAACCCAAAGCCACTCATTTTCTATGTATTGCTAGCTTTATTTTCCAAAATACCCTCAGGCTCTTTCAAAATAATCAGGTTCTTTCAGGGACTTATGGAACTGGAGAGCCCACTGAATTTTGTGTAGATAAGAAACTGTCCTTTCACATTTCTGCATTGACAAGTTCATCCTTAGAATTCTTCTGAGGATCCTCACTGGATGCTTCTGCAGGGCAGACCTTATGGAAAGGACATTTCTTCTCACATGTGACATTCTGAATCCAAAAAACTTCCACGGTGACTTTCAGTGTGGGAAAGAGAAATGAGCAGCTTGTCAGGTGTCAGGTTTCAATCCTTTCATAAAAATCCTTTTATGAGCCTGAGATGAAAACTGCCCAACTCATGGCTCAGCCTTGTCAGAAGAGCCAGAGTTGGAGGGAAAATCATAATTCCATGGACCTACTTGTGCAGACTTATGAAATATGTGTTGCTTGGCAAAAGATTCTATCAAAGCACTTTGAAGTCGGGAATATTATGAACAAAAGCACATATTTTTTGATTCTTTGATTTTATTTTTTTTCCCCTGAAAATACTGTCCACAAAGGTGAAACTTGTTTTCCCTTTAAAAATTAGCTAAACTAAAGAAAATTGGAGTTTTACATAACGTGTCAATCATGCCATTAAAGATTGGACATTTCTGGCAGTTTTCATGTGTGGTGCAATAAATTTGGAGGATCTTTTGTAAACAGAATATTTTTCACACTCAGGTGGGTTTCCTACTTTGGGAAGTTTATCTTATTAGAAATAAATTGAGACAAGATTTAATTTTGTTTGTGAAAATGTCAATGATAAAAATAATGTAATGGTAAAAAATGGAAATAAAATGTATCTTTCCTGATTAGCATGTTTTTTTTTTCTTGTATATTATCTGATCAGTAGGGTTATCTCAAGCTACATTCAATTTAGTGATCTCATTTTAAATTATTGGAATGAAGTTATCTGCTAATTGTTTCCAGGGAGCAGTTCAAAGCATGAATTTAAGAAAGACAACAGAAAATATATTATTGTATGTAATATGACTCATGCAGGCTTACTTTAATCATAGGACAACTTTAAAATATTGATTATTTTTAAATATTTGAGTTTGAAATTTTAAACCAGAGTCAGGAAATAAATGTGTCCCCTTTTTAAAATTATTATCTTGAAAAATATTATTCCTGTGAAATAGTAAAGAAATTACTGTGAAAATTTCTAAGGCCATAGGTAGATTCCTAAAACTTTGCATTATTCATTGGTGATAGATCCAGAATGTGTGAGCCAAATCCCCTCAAATGTCCCTTTGCTGATATTAGAAGGCTCATGACCCTTTTTATGGTGATGAAGAATGTTTGTATGTGTGGTATTAGCATTCCCTGTCCCCCCTTACTAATGGAAGAGGCCAAATTCCCCAATTTGAAAAGTTTACCATATAAGAAATGTAACCAGGGGCTTTAAGCCACTGCTTAAATAAACTTAACTTGGGTTTTGGCTGGATTTTTTTGTTTGCACGAAGAGGTTCCTTTGTAGATAATCTAGAAGTCTTTTATACATAATACACCCTATCCACCTTAAAATTAACCTCATATGAGTTAATTAAGTGAGGGCTTACAGTAGCCATACCATTTTTAACATTTCAGCATAAGCTCTAGTAAAAGAAATCTGAAATCAGATGTTGACTTGCTTAGGTGTGCTCGGTGGGAAGCTCTTAAGAACAGAAAACACTGATCCCAGTGCTAGAAACACACCCTGACAGATAAAAAGCTTTTGGACAAATGAACAGCCTGAGAAAAGATTCAGGATGGAGCCATGGCCTTCTGAATGAAATAGTTACCAGGTAAGAAGTGAGAACTGCCTGATTTAGTCATCTAACAAGGTGACAGCTTTGATTAGTTGGTCCCAAATGAAATGCTCCGTAGGGGAACGCTTGGGCACATGTGCAGCAGCATAGACAGAACGCTGATATTTTATCTGGTGTTAGAAAATTTTTAGTAGGGTCCAGGGTAGTATCTGGGGAGGGAAGGAGGGAGGAAAGTCCTCATCTGTGAAAGTCTTAGGATACAAAAAAAATGGAAAACTGAAATTGTCAGCACATAAATTATCCTTGTAGGAAACGGGACAATTTCAAACATATCCCTCTGCATAAGTAGTTAGCAAAACTATTTATCGTATTTATCTTTTGTAGCTTTGTTCTTTTTCTTTGAAGGCTGTGTGAGAAGGGGTCTAAGAGAGCCTTCACTCCTTCCAGAGAGGAGGACGCCAACCACTGGTGAGGATTTGTCCTCAACAAATTCAGAGAGATCATTCCTAGTGAACCTGTATTTTTCTGTGTGAATTCTGTTCCTCTAGTCAACTTTTGGAAAATAAACACTGTAAGCAGAAAAACGGAGTTGGTTTTGTGTTTTTAAGAAGTGCCAGTTGCTGCACACTGGACTGTTAGAAATCTATTCCATATACTGAATACATTACCAGATAATTAAGGCTAACAACTAAAATGTTATTGCAGATTTTGCCTCATTTATTTCCTCTTTGTGTCCATAAATGAAAATGTAACTATTGCATTTCTGATCCCCATAATTCCCTCAAGGCTGCAGGCTTTACTAGGCATTGCATAGAAATCTACAGGCTGACAGAAAACAAAAGGACATCTGTGGTGCACAGATGGAGCTAAAAGTTTTCCATAGAATAAGCAATATGACCAAATTAAGAAAAAAAGAGGCAGTGGCAAAACTAAGACACTTAGATTTTAATAAGCTCATTCCTTCCTCCTGTAATAGTGGAATGTAGTGAAGTTTTAAACATCATGAGGCATTGAACAAAACCATCCTGACGAGCCCGTGCACTCTTTTCTTTTGTTTCCTTAACACAAAAAGGTGAGACTGGGGCTTTTTAACCTGGTTAAATAACAGCACCACAGGATAGGAAACCATAAATTGTAACTGCTTCAAGCACTGGTTGAGAGGGGTCATGTGTCATAAGATTGCTCAACATCTGGTTGAGAATTCCTATTAGCAGAGCATTTAATCACATGCTTGACTTAAAATGCATAGGTTAGCACTGTTTTTGAATAGGGATGTAATTCCTTTTTGACATAATGGCAACATATAGCTTGGCCTTGAATCTACAGGAGTAAAAAAAATTGTACAAATCCTTGATGTAGAGAGTTGTACAGTACAGTTGGACATGGCTGACCCCCTCCTGGGACACAGCTGCCACATAAGTAAAGGCTGGATTCTAACAGCTCATTCACTCTGGTGATTTTTATTTGTTACCTTGAAGTTGTGGCTGTTTTCCCTTCTGTTGAGAGAGGATGCCTTAGAGATATGTGTGCACCAGAACTTTAAATAGAGTATCTTGTGGGGATATCTTGTATCCTGAGAGGCTCAGTGTTTCTCCTTCTCTGCAGTTTCTCACTATTGGTGAGTTTGGGGATAAGCAGCAGTTAAATCTGGAATTTTTTAATGATGAAATGCAGTTGTAACTCTAGGGAAGCATTTGAAAGAGCAGCTTTCTTTAAAAACCCTTAGTAATACAGTCAAAGATAATGTCCTGAATATTAAAGTAAGACATTTAAGAGTGGGTTTGGTGTTTCAGAAGCTGCTTGCCCCTGAAATGGTGCTTCAAAACATTAGAAGGCAAAAACAAGTCTGTGATGTGAGAATGAGTTGGCCTCATTCCTACAGTGAAACAGCAGTCTTCATCCTGCACCTTGCTAGCTGAGCAAGGGCATTTATTCAAGAAATAAGGTTCTCCTAGAAAAAAAAAGGTAACGTACTGCTTGCTGTCTAGCAGCTAATTAACCATTTTTATGTGCAGCAGATGCTGTGTGGCATCAGGCCCTCCCAACCCTTACACTGTTTGTCCTACCATGGATTGCTCTGCCCCTCTACAGGTGTTACTTTACTGAAGTTTGCCTGTAACCTGAGCTGGTCATGTTTGTCTTACATTGCTGGATACCCCCTGCATATCTTGATTTTGCTTTATGAACTTCCTTTGTGTACAGCACTATAATGGGTCACTTCTTGCTCTTTGAAGAGAGTTTTGCAAATCCTAGTTTAATAGTTCCTAGTTCACTCCATCTGTTGATACATTGCCAGTATCTAAGTCTGTGCACTAAATCTTTGTGAGACTTAAGTCCTTCCTTGTCATCCATATAGGCTGAAATCTTCAACTGTATTCTGTTCTGTAAATCATTTATCTCTGTGCCTTTTAAGAAGTGGCCTACCTTTCCCCTTGGGGCCATTGGTCTTGAACGTATTTATTTTTTTGGCAGAATGCCATGAATGAATCATAGCCCTGAGCAGCTCAGCCTGGGCTCCTCTCGATTGTTAATAGGGAATACTTGGGGCAGTTGTTACAACGCCTTGCTCTGGGAGACTTTTAAGAGAAGAGAGATTGATTTCAGACTTGTTAGTTGCTTTTGAAGTTCCTCAACAGTATGTGGAAATGATTTCTTACGGTTGTACAGCTGTAATGCACTAAAATAACTCGTGATTGTTGAATGGGAAGTTGGTACATGGGAATATGTTACTAACTCTTTGTCCTAATGAGGTGTTTGCTCTTTCACAAAAAATAATCACTTCAGCTTTTCATTCCATTTGTAACTTTCCTGTTTATACCTTCCTGCTCCATTTCCATACTGCTTTATTGTTTCTCTTCTTGACTTAATTCTCAAGTCTTTCATTCTGTTCTTCAGACATCCCTCTTTTTTGGTTTCGCTGTCCCACATGGATATTGTTTCATACTCCCTCCCTCTTTTTCTTGTGTAACAGTGCTTTCATTAAAGGCAACCAGGCAGATGATTTATTTCTGATGTCTTAAAAGGCTTCTTTGTAATGAAGAGCCTGGAGCCAAGCAAACCACTAAGGATTTCCATAGGTGAGTCAGCAGCATGGGCCTGGCTGGCTCTGAGACCCACGGTGCCCACAGTGAAGTATGGAACTATCTCATGCTTCAGAGGGAATGAAGTAGATGACAATGTGAAATCAAAATTTGACTGGATACATCACCATAGATTCTGGTTTCCACTTCTTTGTTAACTTGTCCACTGTTGTGAGCAGCCCATTTGGCTAGCAGTGGGATGTTTGGCTGCTCCTAAACTTTGGATTTGGGCAGTGCACAGAGCCGTAGGACACAGTATGCTGACCTCCTCCATCAGCATTCGTGGGATGTGTTCTTTATCACGTGCACATTTCCCATTTTCCAGGTGTTTGAGCACTGAGTTTCTCCAGCTGGTTGGCTGTAGGACCCCTCAAATACCACCTGTATTGAGTGCACCTGACTTAGTTTTAACTGCAGAGCCTGTATTTCTCACCTGTGCTTCAGGGAGGCTTCTCTTTAGATTTGGTTGACCTTTAGTGTGAGGGAATTGGACCAGCAGATGGGGAGTAATAGCTGCAACCTGATCATAAACAAGGTGCCTGTAGGTTAGCACACAGCTGAGCAAGTGGGATCCCTTTCTGTTAGAGGGATGCACTTTGGAGTATTCCAGAGCTTCCTGATGTTTGCAACAAAAATCTTTGCCAAATTGGGAAGATAAAGATGGATCCAGAGACCAGTATTTCTGGGTTGCTTAGGGAACTGAACTGTGAGGTCCTTGTTCTTCACACTGAGGTAGTAATGCTACATCCTGTTCTGACTTGGGAAATTTCAGAATAAACAGGGCCCTTGGTGAGTGTCCAGTGGAGGGGGATCCAAGCAGGGTTGTGACTCATGCCTTTTCCCAGCAATTAATTCAAAAATAGAATTGACACTGATGCTTTGAAGGTCAGAATGCCAGGTCAGTGTGTGTCTGATAGTTTTTCATGGGTAAGGTGTTGATAGAGGACAAAGTATTCTTCATTTTCAAATTCAGTTCTGCTGGCCTATGTTCTATGTAGAAAACGAATTTTCTTTGTATTATCTACTGCAGGAAGAAGAGACATTACCTCTGCATAGGTATTTTCTGGCATATTTTTTGTCTGAGTGAACAGCTGCTCTGTCACTTTTGATACTGTGGTTTCACAAAATTTTGCAGTGACCTTATTTACCTGTTTTTCTAGATAAAAATTTACATCACAGTTGCTAACTGATCCTGAACTTAATGACTGCCTTAGGGAGAGGCAGGAATCACTTTACTCTTGCACATTTTAACCTCTTACTCAGACTGGTTAAATCAGAGTTGTTAAGAAATGGGTTAAATTTTAGTACATGAACAGGAAGCTTTGGACTATATACATTCTGAAATTATTCATGAAAGCTGCAAATGTTTTAGTTACACCTTCAGTAGAACTTTCATGTCATTTTTGCCTTCACAATTCAGCATTCTGCCCAAACCTTTTCATTAGTGGTGGGTGGCTATTTTGACGATTATGCACATTTTTTTCCTGAGAAATTGAAGATACTGTAGCTGTAAAGGCAATATTCTGAACTGACTGAAACTTCATGCAAGTGTCATGGCTATAGAGGATTCCTCCTGCTTTTGAATTTGAATAGAATTTGATTCTTGGGAGCTTGCAACCACAGGGGACAGTCTTTAAAAACAAAACAAACCAAAAACTGTGTCTTTTGGTTCCTTCACTTGCTTTTGTTGTACTGTGAGACCTGCTCTGAAAGACTCGAGCCTGATGTTTAAGATACCTCCCCTACTGGTTAAATAGGCCAAGTAAATGGTAAAATATCTCATTTATTTAATTAATTTGTATTACTTCTCTACATGGAATCTATCTAGCTCTATGAAATACTTGGTAAATTTGAAAGGTTCTGCTCCCACAGAGAGGATTATTTTTTTAATCTCTGCTTCCTGCCAAAGCTTCTCCAAACCTTGGTATCGAAGCATGAAGGTGGTGGGGGGGGGACATTCAATGGAGTTTTTTTTGTTTTGTTTGTGATTTTGGTTTGTTCTTTTAATGTTGCCATCCTCAAGCTGTCTTGCTCTTAGCAGTGGTGAAATGTCTGGCTCACTCCTTGTATGAGACAGCAGTGAGAGCCAAGAAGTTTGGCTCCTTAAAATGTTTTGAAAAGTGGTGCAGGACAGGGGGCAGAGCTGACATAAAGCAGCCTCCCAATGTCTGTCTCATGATATTGTCACAGTGCTTTGGCATTACAGCCTGGGGCAAGGCTTTTGAAAACCAAATTATTTGCACAATAAATTCTAGACTATTTCTTTTTTTCTTTTTTTTTTCCTCCCTCTGTTTTTTCTCCCCTCATTGCCTCCTAAGTCTGGTGTTGGGGCATAAATCCTAGGTGGGGAGATGGTACACATTCTGCACACTCCTGGTTAACTTTGAGCCTGCATCCTTGGGTTAGACTTGCCAAGCAGAAGACTGAGTCAGCAGCAATTTCATAGTTTGAAGGTGAGTTTGTACAGACAACAGTAGATGGTCACTGTGCTTAAAATGCTTACATTTTAAAGTGGATTATATTTAAGGGTTGTACTTGCACAGGTGCTTTTAAAGTTCTGGGTTTTTCTGCTTTTCTTTTTGTTGTTTAAAGAATGTCTCCTCTGTTCCTTATCTAGAGTTTGTGACTAATTTTCAGTATAAAATTGAAAACATGTTACTTGTATTATAGAATCATAGAATCATTTAGGTTGGAAAAGACCTCCAGGATCCTTGAGTGCAACCTTTGACCAATATGGTGTGATTCCATGACACATGGACAGCTGATGGATGGATATTCCTAAGGGCCTAGACAGTCTCCTGGTGCCCAGTTCCTTTAGGCAGGCATGTTACTCTAATCCAGTCACCTACTGCTGGTTTAGAAGAAATTCAGGTGACTAAAGAACCTTTCCTTATAACCTCGAAATGTATAGAAATTATGTAGCTTACAATAAGTTAGTGTGGAAACTCAGAAAAACAGATTGGCATCTTATCATGAATTGCAACCAGCCCATGATTTTAATGATCCCAGTGGAACTAAAGTTCCTCTTGACCTATTTGAAAGGATACAAATTTAATAGGGAGTTAAATCTATTATATGTATGTGTTTGTTGCACAAGAAAAAAGTGTACAGTAAAGAGGTTGTTTTGAATCTTTATCTACATTTGTGTATCATGGTTATACTGACCTTTTTTTTACACTGAGCTCATCATTCAGTCTCTCTGTGAACCATTTGTGGTCTTTTTATCAGTGTTTAACAAAACTTGGACAAATTAAAAACAGTGGGTGTGACCAAAGCTTGCTTTTAATTTGTTAATCTGACAGTCCTTCATTTTTAACTTTTTTTTTTCTCAGATATCTTGACCATCTTCATTTTATGGGAACATCCATAGGGTGGAATCTTTCCTAGAACAAAGCAAGGAAAAAGTACCTGTGGTTAAATGTTCTGAAAGAACAGAGTTGGTGGTGTTCATATTTCTGTTTTAGTCTGAAAGTATCTCATTGTTTGCTTGAAGATTATGCTGGTGTTATGACCCTGCTCCAACTGAAATTATACTGTCTCTTTTAATCTGCCTTTGGATGATGAGGCAGACAATTATGAAGAGGACAAGCTTTGTCTTGAAGCAGGTAATAAATAACCATCTCCATCAACTTACAGTTTGGATCAACTTGTCTGTCTGGAATTACTGCAATTTAACACATTATGGTGTAATGAAATAATAAACTATCTTCAAAAAAATTTAAAGTGTCTTTTTAAGTCTGATATTACACAGTGTTTTGGATTTTGGGTATGTTTTTATATAAGGTAGCTTTGAGATGCAGTGCAAATGAACCCAGATTTTTGCAGGGAAGAGTTTTAGATTCAGAGCTTAGGAGTGTTAACATGGAAGAAAAGATGTTTTTTTCAGAGGCTGCATAACTTGTGTGTGATAAAATGTGTTTTGAGATATGATTTTAAAAGCTGCTGTCATTTGGTGTAAAATCAACCTGTTTTATTAAAAGAATGTGTGGATAGATGGAAGCATGCATTGTAGTTGTACTGACAGAGATTGGGAAGCAATGACATGCCTTACTAAGCTGACAAGTAATGGTGTTTTGTGATAGCTTTGGGGAAAGTGTTTGCTTTTGGCACCAACTTAATCATCTTCATGCAAAGTTTAGTATGTCTTGGGCTTCTCTTCAGACTCAAGGTAACTTCATGCATTCCTCTCCGTTGTAACAGACATAACTGTATCCTTGCTGTTCGAAAAACTAAATGAGATTGCAGTAAGAAACTGGAAGAACTTCCATAAATTCCTCTCTTACATGCAGTGATACCAGTTGGCAAATTACTTCCTTAGATGGGCACCTAAAGAAAAAGAAACCATCTCTTTGTAGCTCTACACTTGTATTGTTGATTGAAGCAACACACAACACGTGCCCCCTGCTGCAACTCTTAGAAGCTGAAATCAGTCAAAAATAGTTTACCAAACCAGGCTGGAGTCCCTTTGCACATGGAGCACCCGTGGCTGCTGAACACTGCAGACTTTCACAATAATAAGGCTATTGCTGTTGGGACCCACGTGGAGGGAGGTACTTGCCCAAGGCATTTTTAACCAACTCTTGGTATGGTGAAAATGTTTTATTTTCTTGGTTGGTCATGGAACAGATGTCAGGCTTAATTTCAATAGTAATTACAAGATTAATGTTTGAGTAGGGTCTGTAGAACTGGGCCATCAGATCTCCCTGCAGACTGCAACTGCACTTGCTAGTATACAGGTTTCCCCCTCTGGTTTCGGATTCTTTCTTTCTTCTATACTAAAAAGAAGAAAAAAGTGTTAAAACACTTTGTGAAACAGTGGTAACTCTCAAAACATACTTAGAAATGACTTGGCGGCTTTTGGTGCTTGTGAAATACTGGTGTCTCTCTGTGCCCCTGTGCTAACATATTGTTTGAGGAGCTCAGTGGGCCTGGGGGATGTGGCAGATCTCTGTGTGACTGGCACATCCACAGCAGGAGAAGTCGGGAGACATCGATCCTGCGGCACCTGAGATGCACCGTCAGGAACGATACCGGCTCCCTCACGCAGGGGTTAAATCTTCTGTTGCGGTGGCCATACCGTCTGGAGAATGTGACTAATTTTTGGTGATTAATACACATTTGGAACAGGAGTAGCAACTGGAGTCTGTCCCAGGATTTGCATCATATCTTAGGTGCCTTACCTAAGGCTTCAAGCACTACTTTTGTTTTAGTTCAGCTAGGAACCCTCAGCTGTCTCAATCGCTTTTTGGGTTTCAGGAAAGTATATTTTTGCTGGTATCCAAGTCAGCAAAGAGCCTTTGATATCATTCAGTTAGAAAGTACATGCAAAAATGAAAACAAATTTTAACAGCTGAGCAAAACAAAATCCCATTCATCACCCAAGGCTGGGTTTGCTTTACTGGTTTGTGAATTTGCCTTTTGAGTGGCTTCGCTGAACATTAGCCTGTGTTGAACTCAGCAGCTTCAACAAGATTTTCTTATGCTGTTTTCGAAGATTTCCAGTGTTTGACAACTTGCCCTTCATTCTTTTTGTTTTAACAAGTGTTTACAGCTCACTTCAGTGGGGAAGTCTGTCTGTCTGCACCAGCAGTGTCTGTATGGGAATGCACAGGGTCACTGTTCCCAGCAGGCTGATGTTCCTCAGACTCTTTAGATGTTTAGTAAATATCCTGTTGTAAAACTTTTGCTGGGAGCTGTAATAGAATATCCAAAGGATGAAAAGCTGGTTTTGACCTCTCCTTTTTCAAGCTCCTCCTCATCCCAGGAGCTCTGTGTCATTAAACAAAGAAACCCTTCCTACCTATTCCCTCCAGCAGTTATAAACAGGAGTGGCAGACTTTTTTCTTAAAGATGCATATTAAAAAGTCTGCAGCAATTAATTCTCGTGATGTGTACCAATGTCTAGTTCAGATCTTTTCCCAGTGCCTGTGGGTTTGTTTTCCGTATTTCATTTTTTTTTCTGATATCTTTTTTTTCTCAAGTTTTAGATTATTATGACTAGTATTTTTCCAAATATTAGATCATCAAAATTCTGTTCTTGTTAGCTGGTAATGAAAATATTTTTCAGTAGTCTATTAATACTATATAATTTTAAAAAATATAAATATTACCATATATTGGTATAAATGTCATAGACAAAGGTTTAAAAATATGTATAAAATTATGTTTATTATTATTATTATGAGACTATATGCCTTTCAGTTTTTTAGCAACTGAAATGTTTCTATTAGGTATACTGAGTGTGTGGAGTCTAAATCTGGATTTCATTTAATGTTTGGAATACATTTTTGGCTAGCTTTTGGTGGCCTGGAGATCTTATGACCTGTCCACGCAAGGATATGAAAATACTTCAGTGTCAGCTATTCTTGCATGATTTTGATAGACCTTTAAATGGGAACTGGACAGCACAGGCCCTTCATGGGATCTGAATCTTTCAAGGAATCCAAGTGCAGGGTGTGTGGGTTCATCCCCGGCCGTTCCCTTCCGTGCAGCCTCCCACACCACTTGGCCAGGCTGCTGCTTTGGCTGCACCTCTGGTGACATGTGGGAGCTGTGCTCCCTCCACCATTTCATGCACCAATCCCAGTTTCAGGATCTAAAATAAACCTTGCTGTGCCTTGGTACTTTTTTTTTTTCCTTGAGAAAACACAGACAGTTGTGCTGCCATTTATATACTTATGCATTTATTATAATAGTGTGTGTGTCTGTCACACTGAGGGGAGGAGGAGCTGGGTGGGAGAAATACCATGAGCAGAATTCCACTGAGACACGGCATTTCTGTTGCTCTTTTTGGGTTCCACCCCAAATCTGCAGCCCTAAGGCTCTTTGTGGGGTTCACACTGATTTGAAGTTGTGTCAGGGCAGGGTTAGGTTGGATCTCAGGAAAAGGTTCTTCCCCCAGAGGCTGGTTGGGCACTGCCCAGGCTCCCCAGGGCAGTGGGCACAGCCCCAAGGCTGCCAGAGCTCCAGAAGGGTTTGGCTGATCCTCTGGGGCACAGGGGGTGACTTTTGGGGATGGGTCTGGGCAGGGCCAGGGGTTGGACTGGATGATCCCTGTGGGTCCCTTCCAACTCAGCACATTCTGTAATTCTTTCCCTTTGCAGTGCACTCCAAGAGCTGCCCAAAGCACCCTCAGATCCTTGTGAAGGTAAAATGCAGAATTATTGGACGTGTTTCTCTACATGACAACTGATGTTCATGTGGACACCAGAAGATCAGTACAGCACTTTCCCATTACTTTTCTGTAATTAATTTCTGCAAATTAAATGCCTGTTGCACAAACAGCATTCCTGGGTTCTTCAGAGT